TACATGAGTTGTCACAATTGTTGGTGTATGTTGCAATACATGAGTTGTCACAATTGTTGGTCTATGTTGCAATACATGAGTTGTCACAATTGTTGGTCTATGTTGCAATACATGAGTTGTCACAATTGTTGGTGTATGTTGCAATACATGAGTTGTCACAATTGTTGGTCTATGTTGCAATACATGAGTTGTCACAATTGTTGGTGTATGTTGCAATACATGAGTTGTCACAATTGTTGGTCTATGTTGCAATACATGAGTTGTCACAATTGTTGGTCTATGTTGCAATACATGAGTTGTCACAATTGTTGGTGTATGTTCCAGTACATGAGTTGTCACAATAATTATTGGTGTATGGTCCAATACATGAGTTGTCACAATTGTTGGTGTATGTTCCAGTACATGAGTTGTCACAATTATTGGTGTATGTTCCAGGACATGAGTTGTCACAATTGTTGGTGTATGTTCCAGTACATGAGTTGTCACAATTGTTGGTGTATGTTCCAGTACATGAGTTGTCACAATAATTATTGGTGTATGGTCCAATACATGAGTTGTCACAATTGTTGGTGTATGTTCCATTATTGGAATAGTCACAAGAGTCGATGTTAGTTTTTTACTACACAAGTTTTCACAATTGTCATCATTAGCTTGTTTATATTAAATGTGATATTGACAGACATTTTTCTGTCCTCTGATTTCAGTGATACTCCCATCTCAGTTCGACTATCTGCGTAACGTGTCAGAGTTTGAGCACACTCACCCAGATAATCCCATCAAAACTATTTATTATGAGGAAATGAAAAAGGTGAGCTGTATTAAAATGGCTCCATTGTACACTTTTTAAAAAAATCTTCGACCATTTTACATTTTAAAGTGTAACTACTTGACATGCTTAAACATTGTTAAGTGTGAGTAAAACTTGATCTCGTTTGTTTTAGAGTTAGAGCTGTATCCACACATTTCAAAAATCAGTTCACCGTAGATTATTCTGTGTTCCATTGTTCTTCAAGGATTCGGTGAAGACCATTTCATCCCTGGCCAAGTTCCTGGGTGTCCCTGCCAGTGATACATTCTGTCAACAAGTAGCCGAGGCCTGCAGTTTTGACAACATGAAGCGAGTGGAGGACGAGGGCAAGAAAGAAATGCCAGAACTTAATGTAAACAAACCCAAAGGTCGGGGCAAATTGACCATTTATCGAAAAGGTGAGCCACAAATTGGAGATGACCATTTATAGAAAAGGTAAGTCACTAATTGGTGATGACAATTTATAGAAAAGGTAAGTCACTAATTGGTGATGACCATTTATAGAAAAGGTGAGTCACAAATTGGTGATGACCATTTATAGAAAAGTTGAGATTTTATTTATCTTGTCATGTTAGCCTAACCCAGTGGTCGGAAGACAACTGCTCCATGCAACCATGCTTTCCAAACACCAATGCACTCCAGATACCCATGCACTCCAGACACCCAAGCACTCTAGACACCCATGCATTCCAGACACCCAGGCACTCCAGTCACTCTTGCACTCCAGGCACCCATGCACTCCATACTCTTCAGACACCCATGCATTCCAGACACCCATGCACTCCAGACACTCCAGACACCCATGCACCGTAGATACCCATGCACTCCAGTCACTCATTTACTCCAGACACCCATGCACACCAGAAACCCATGCACTCCAGACACCCATGCACTCCAGTCACTCCAGACACCCATGCACCGTAGATACCCATGCACTCCAGTCACTCATTTACTCCAGACACCCATGCACACCAGACACCCATGCACTCCAGACACCCATACACTCCAGACACCCATGCATTCCATACACCCATGCCCTGCAGACACTCCATGTACTCCAGAAATACATGAAGGAATAGATGCAGCTGTTATTGTTTTTTTAAAAAAAGATGAGAATAATGACAATCATAAAAAAAAGATTTTCTTAGTAGATATTATTTTAAAAATGGGTTCTGTAGCCGACCCCTGGACTTACCCATGCTACCTACCGTAGCTGCACCTCTGGTTGTAGTATCTCTTGCTATGCTGCCTACCCTAGCTACACCGTACACCTCTAGTTGTAGAAGTATCGCTTGATATGCTACCTACCCTAGCTACACCTCTGGTTGTAGAAGTATCTCTTGCTATGCTGCCTACCCTAGCTACACCGTACACCTCTGGTTGTAGAACTATCTCTTGCTATGCTACCTACCTTAGCTCAACCTCTGGTTGTAGTAGAAGTAGGCCCTATCTCTTGCTTTAATGCATCTATTTCAATGTTATCCCAGGAACAATTGGAGACTGGAAGAATGTGTTTACGGAGGAACAAAGACGAGAGTTTGATGCTTACATCGAGAGAGAGGAGAAGAAAGGGCTCGCGTACAGGTTCACTTTCGAATAAAGCAATCAGAAATTAATCTGTAGCCTTTGTTTCCTTAATTCCATACTGTGAAAATCTCATGGAAGGAGAAGGGCAAGTTTTAAATTTTTGGATGTACAAGAGTTGCCTCAACATGACCTTTGAACTTTTTTTTTTTTTTTTTTCAATGTGAAAGATTTCCCATAAGGTTTGGTGACCAAACGTCCCGTTTTTTCTGGATCGTACCCGTTGTCCCGAAAAAGT